TCTTACATAGGTAAATTCTCACCTGAGCAGCTCGGGCAGACAGGAGGAGCAGACGCGGTGATTGCACTCCTCGAACTGCACAGGGAAGCTGAGCATCTTCGTGCAGACGGGACACTTGTACTTATCCTCCAGCGGGCCTTCCAGCGGAATCAACTCCAGCTCCTCCTTCCCGCCCGACCAGCTGCTGCCGGCCGAGCCGGAGCGCACCGACGGAGCGTGGCTGTTCTCCGGCATGCTGAACAAAAGCGCTACCTATCGGACAAGGCAACGTGTGAGAGCAAGTGCGAGAGAAAGGGAAAGGGAGATTGCGCGCGAGAGAGTGAGAGAGAGAGAGAGAGAGAGAGAGAGAGAGAGAGAGAGAGAAAGAGAGAGTGACGCTGCGCGCGAGACAGGGCGAGAGAGGTAGACCGAGAGATAGGAAGAAGAGGGAGGAGCGCGAGACGCGAGCGAGAGGTAGAGAGAGCGAGAGGTAGAGAGAGGCCGAGACGAGGCGAGAAGGTACATGGAGGAGGAGAAGAGACGAGCAGAGAGGAGAGAGAGAGAGAAGAGAGAGAGAGAATGAGAGAGAGAGAGAGAGGAGAGGCGCGAGGAGAGAGCGAGAGGGCGAATGAAAGAGAGCGAGAGAGAGCGCAGAGAAGTAGGAGAGAAGAGATAAGAGCGCGAGAGTCACGCGAGAGTTTTAAAGAAGAAAAGGAAGCGAGAGTAGAGTGGAAAATGGCGGTGTAGACCTTGCAGCCCGCCTATGAACTCGCAGAGTGTCTCTGCTAACCCGGTGGTGTTTTTTTTTCTATTCCGGCGAGCAGTAGCCAAAGTAAGTTGGATCGTCATCGATTGGGCAGTGGGTGATAGTAGAATGCGTTATGTTGGGCACAGCGATAGTAATTGATATGATTTGGGTCGCGCCATCGGCCGCAGCGAAGGCGTGTAGCAGTAGCAGACATTGTCAGTCCAAACTGGTTTGAGAGCAGGATGGAGAGAGAGGGTGTGTGAGAGATGAGCCAA